TTACACAGTCTGACTTATGAGTTAATTTTAAAGATAAACTTGTAAAAGCTTTTATAAATTATAATTCAGTAGATAATCTTAAGTAATTATAACTTAAGAAAGTTTTTTTTTTTAATTCATAGATATCTCTGAAGATTATATTTAAAAACTCAGTTTAAAAGTATTTATGAATAGTAAGTATTTCTTATAGAAAAATAGCATAATTTTATAAGAGATACTTAAGAATAATCTTTATTAAAATTAATTTATTTATAAGTTCAGAGAGTTTCTCTGTTATAGATATAAAAAATAATATTTTATAAGTAATTAATAAGTTCTCTAAGACTTCTTTTATAAGAGTTATTTATAATTTAGATAGCTACTTCTGAGTATCTATAGTAGAGTTTACAGAAATTAAAGTATATAAGTTTTTAATTCTTTCAGTTATAATAGATAATTACTAACTGATAGAGCTTGAAATATAAGAATAAGTACTTATAGATAATTATTTAAATATTTACAGCTTGATATAATATATACTAATAACTACTAGAAGTATTTATAGTAGAAAGATAAAATATAGAGATTAATATATAATAGTATTTAAGCTGAGTTATAAATAGTAGTCATGAACTTCAGTCTATATAGTTATGTGTAGTTAAGAGCTGTTCACTTTATTAATTATATAAGAGATAGAAATAGAGATAAAGAATCTGTGAAAAGTGAGATTTCTTATATTTTTCTATAACTATTATTATTATTATTATTAATATTGATTTTATAAATATAAATATAAGCTCTGAGAAATCAAAGATATTAAAAACTCTATTAAATTAGTATTATAATTTTAATTATATTTATATTAATACTATAATTACTATAGTCAAGAATTTTTATATCAGAGTTATAATTAAAAGTTTTAAGACTCAGTTTTTTTATAAAGAGTGTGTTAAAGCAGATATAATATAAAATTATTCAAAAACATTTATACTCTTTAAATATCTTCATAATCACAGGTAGACTGGCCGCCGGGACTATGAATTTCACATTTGGTCTTATTTGGTCTGGTCCCATACATTTCTTGGCGTGAATCCCGCTGGGACTGGCTATCAAAAAAACATGCAAAGTGACTATATATCAGATTTTAAAATGAAATCATAACTTGAAAAAAATAAGAAAGTAGTTTTATTTAGTCTTATTTAATTTCATTCTTGATATAAAGTTACTATTTTTAGACATTTTAAGGTTTTTTTTAAACTATTTTTAATTTTTTAAAAAGTAACACTTTTTAATAATACTTAAATGAGATTTAAAGTCATTTAAAGTAATAAAAATAATTTAAATTGAGAAGTGAAAATCATGATCTCATTTGAAAAATGTGATAAGAGTAGATAGTAAGTCTCACTGAAACAGTATAAGACTACTATCTAATGTTAAAATCATGTAATGAGATCAGTTGAATTGGTAATGAGACTATCAAAAAATCTGGTCCTGGTCTCAGACACGGTCACACAGTCAGTCTAGTCATACAGCCAGTCTAATAACAGCACACATAAGACAAGAGAATTATGAGAAAAGAAAGAGAAAACAAAGATCTTGAGGAGAAGATATTCAAGCAGTAAAGATTTATATAGTTCAGAAAGCAGTGATGTTTGATGTTGGACTAAACCCAATTGAGTGGGAGCTAAACCATGGAAGGCAAGTATACCTTAGGTACTGTTTGTTTATTCGCTCTCCACTTCATCTCCTCTTGATATTGACTCTCAGAGAACAATCCGTTATTCCAAGGGTTATTAAATATCTCTGATCCTCTATTTGCCGAGAGGTAACTCACCCATATATATGTATTGCCAGCAGCTCATTGACTGAGAATTGGCACCACATTTGGCCAATTAAAACAGCGGTTTTGGTGTTTGGCTGGCCCTGTCCTGGGCATCGCGGGGATATTTACATCCACCTTCTCTTCAATTTAGATATATCCACTTCAGCTTCAACTAGCTTGCTGTGCATTACATACGAACATCAATTCCCCCTCTCATACACAACAAAAACTCCACCCAAGAAAATCATTTCCTCTACAGTTAAAAGAACAAGGCCTATCTTCCTCCCTCGCCATCAACATGGCGCTGCGGGACCACGACCTGCCCTCCGATGACGACGAGAACGGCGCCCTCTTCGCCGCCCTCGAAAGAGAAGAAGATAACCCCTCCTACAAAGCCCAGCGCATCGAGCAACTACAATCAGAACTAGCCGCCCGAGCCCAGCAGCAGCAACAACAACAGCAACAACAAAAGGACAGCAACAGCAGCAACAACGCCGCAACCCTCCAAAACACCCTCGTCCCCACCCTCCCCTCTGACCAGTCGCTCCTCGACTTCACAACCCGCCACCCGCGCTGCGTCATCCACTTCTCCCACCCCGACTTCGCCCGCTGCGCCGTGATGGACAAACACATCCACGCCCTCGCCTCGCTGCACCACGAGGCCCGCTTCGCGACCGCGGATGTGCGCACGATCCCGTTCGTCGTGGAGAAGCTGAAGGTTAAGGTGCTGCCGTGCGTCATTGGGTTTGTGGACGGGGTGGGCGTGGAGAGGATTGTGGGGTTCGAAGGGCTGGGGTATGGGGGCAGGCTGGATGCTGATGAGGAGTTCCGGACTGGGGAGTTGGAGAGGAGGTTGCTGGGGCGGGGGTGTTTGATTAAGCGGAGGATTGGGGAGGGCGATGAGGTTGGGAGTGATGTTGATGGGGAGGGGGAGGAGGAGGTTAGGAGGAAGAAGGGGGGAAGGGGGATTAGGGGTGGACTGAGGAGGGGGACGGTGGTGAATGATGATGACGAGGAGGAGGAGGATTGGGATTGAGGGCGGTTGTTGGGTTCTTTTGTGGGATTTGGGCATATTTTATGTGGATTTATGCGTGATTGCGCCAGATGGGATATCTGGTCAGGCGGGGGCGTTTATTCTACTTCCTTGCTATCAGCTCAAGATACTGATGCACAGGGTGGTCGAATATATGCAGCCCCTAGGTAACCCTCATTTTTCTTTAATCGAGAGGAAGGAAAACAGGCTATGGCACTTTGATGATATATCGCCCACTGTTTACGATTTGCTATTCCTAACGAGCCAGCCATCTCACCGTCCCTACCGACGATGGGAGATTGACTACGCACACCCCCGTTGGGCATCTCGCCATCGCCTTATCCTCTCTACCTCCGGGTATTCTTCCCATATCCTGAAAGAAGAGACAGGCTTTTTATTTCTGGGTAGAACAGACCCAAAGATACGCAGAGCAGGCGCCAAAGACCGGAAGAAAAAGACAATAATGCAGGAGAAGCATGGTTTATAAAGACAGCCATTGTTTATACTACCTACCCTTCATCTCAACTGTTAAGTCTAGATGAAGCTAGAGTGGGACGCAAAACCCCTGTTTAATAAACTATTACTAATATCTCCATTATATATGCCTCAGAAAATATGTATTTCCATCTCTCAAGTAAAACAGTAGCAGTCCATAGCTCTCATAAAGTATATGGCTTGAATATACATGTACATGCACCCCTCGGGCGAATGGCAAATAGAACAACACCCCCCAACAAAAAAGGGGAAACCAAAGGCGGGGGGGAAAGCTTTTAGTGAAAAAAGAAGAACAGTACGGAGCGTCTATATTATTATAATACACTTCAGGAGAAAACGCAATATGAAAAAGAAAGAAAGAAAACGAGAATGAAGAGAGAACTGTAACATGTAACTAACTAACAGGAAAGGCAATAAAACGAAAAAATTTGAATGGAAACATGAAAGAAGAGACAAGAGGGGACGAAAAACAAAACAAAATAAAAATATAAAATAAAAATATAAAAATAAAAATAAAATAAAAATAAAATAAAAAAGAATATTCAGTTTTATTCATATATATTATTATATAATAAGAAACGACAGGGCGAGGAATGGCAGCGATGTATTATGTACACTCTATTACCGTCTAGGGTCATGGGAGGTGTAAGAACAGGGGATGTGTGTAAGTCCGTCTCGAGAAAAAGAAGCGGGGGGCGCGTATGTATTGGAAGAAGAGACAAATACACGATAATGCGTAATGATTAAATTGGAGCTAGTTATGAAAAACAAAAGAGAAGACAAGAAAGAGGATAAAGAGTTTGCAAGAAAGTTAAGTAGAGGAACGAGATAGAGGGGGGAAAAAATAATATGCAGGAAAGGCGTCGGTTTGTGGCGAACGTGGAAGCTTTGGGGATATACGGTTGCTGAGGGGAGAAGAGAATAATAGTTTAACAAGAATACGAGAGGAGAAGAGAATGGGGAGAAGACGGTTGAAGAAGTAGAAGAAAAGATAAGAAAAGGAACAACGGACGTAAAAAGAAGTAATTTATGAGTATAAAACAGGTAGGGTAGAAGAGCAAGTTTTGTTCTATACAGGTATACATGCAGGTTAGGACACAGGGCGTTCGTTAATCGAGCTGTGCGATGAGTGGTTTAACACGCGTATCATAAAGCAAAGGAGCAGAAATGAAACGCAAAGCGGAGCAAAGCAAGATGGAAACGAAAAGGGGAAACATGAATAATAAGGAACAAGTAGTAGCCAGCGGCCACACAGAAAGGTAAGAAAAAAGTGAAAAAAAAAAAAAAAAAAAAAAAAAAAAAAAAAAAAAAAAAAAAAAAAAAAAAAAATGAAACCATACAGGGGCGCGGCAATGCATGATTAGTAGTTAAAGAGGTGGTCCCTAAAGAAATGCAAACAATGGTTACAGTCTGGCCCCGTTCAACAGAAATGATATAGACACGACAACAACCGCCAACTAACCGGCAACCTGTCAAGGAAGCAAAACATCAAAAAAGTAACTCCCCCCTCCCCGCCTCTCGATCACTTTTATTATCTAATGTGAGTTGACGGTGAGGGTTGGAGGGCAACGAAGCAGATGAACATATAAGGATATCAACATGGAGAAAAAAACTTGGGGGAAAAAAGAAAAACTACCAGCGACCTATAATTGCTGTCGCGTTCGTTTTTTATTAGATGGCAATACTCTTCATCCCTTCCAAAGCATTAGCGTCCGGGCTCGTCAGGTTACTTCGGCGCTTGCTCTTTTCCTTCTCTTTCTCTTTCGATGGAGCAGGAGAAGGGTCAGTATCTGCGGGTTCGGTGGGGATAAGGTCGCTCTTCGACGTGTCTGTCATCGATGTTGCTGCTGTCGTTGTTGTTGTAGTAAAAGAGGCCGCATCGACAAGACTATCCGCCTTCTTGGCCGCATCTGCATTCACCGAGGCGGAACCATCGATTTTGTTGTTGTTGTGGTTCTTATTACTGTCACCCGGGCTCACTGGCGAGGTCGTTTCTTCCGTGACTCGGGCAAGAGGGCTCGAGACCCCAAATGCGTTTTTCGGACTTGCGTTTGGTCCTCGGGAGGGGAATCGATGGGGAGAACGTCCGCGTTCGTCGCCGCTGGCAGCTGCTGTTGGGCTTCCGTAAGGAGAATCTCTGTTTCCATTCACACCGGTATTCACCCCGAGCCCGTTCGGGGTCTTTCTCCGCGGAGGTCTCCGGCCGTACTTTTGATCTGTGCGCCATCGTAGAATTTCGAGGTAAGGGGGTTCAACACCCGGTTGCTTAAATTGTTTCAGCTTGAGCTCGCCAGAGTCGTCGTCCACGAAGGATTTTGGGGAACATAGATCGTCAGCAACAATGGCCAGAAATCCAGCCCATGATCTTGCAACCACGTATTTGCAGTCATAGTCACGGCCAAAGATAATAACCTGGCCCCATTTGCCCGCAGGCCCTGGGGCTAAGTCGACGGCAATGTTGTTTCCACCCCAGTCACGAGCCAGAGGGATCCAGCTGGGATGGGCATATGCTTTCTGTATGGCCTTTGGTGGCTGTGAGTCCTGTTTGTCCAGCAATTCCTGTCTCCATAACGGGTTGGGGCCCGTTTGCGCCGGTGGTGGCGGAGGTGCTGATGAGGAGGAAGGGGCGGAGCTTCCGCCAAAAGCTTTCGTGGGTTGCTGGAGAGGGGGGAAAGACGAGGTACTGAGAAATTCTTCATTCACGGTCCTCCAATTTCTCCATTCCTGAACGATTTCCTCGCAGTCGAGTAACATGCAGCCGAAAATGATACCCGTTGGCCTTCCGCCACGTTCTTGTCCGTCGTGAATTTGTAGAGATTCCCGAACCTCGAGTGGCAGAGTGCAGTCCAATTCATGTTCCAGTTCATTTACATCATTCTGCGTACACCCTTCACCCAATTGATCGTAAAGTTCTTCGTAGTGTGTTTCCGCCCATCGATCGATCTTTCTCCAAGAATGCGAAACAGGCGGAGGGGGCGGGGCGCCGTCATGGAAACTTTGCATTTGTATTTCTGTAGCAACACCATCTGGGCTATTGAGTTCGTTTGACCTTCTGTGTTGGGAGGATAACGACCTCATGCCTGGCGAGTACGGTCTAACGGGAGAGGTAACTCCTCCTTGTGAACCTGACCATCCTGGGCTGGAGGACCGCTTAGCGGGATCGTCTTCGAAGAAGGTCAGATCCGGACGAGATTCGAGAGCGCTTGTAGCTATGGAGGTGAGGGGAGCATTGCGGTTTTGGCTAAGAGGAACGTGTTGGCCGGTTCGATAGGGAGAATCGTGGGAGGCGTGTCTGTCATTGGAGGTCATTGTATGCCAGAAGGAGCGAAAAGCCGACCCCAAACTGAGAAAACAAACTATTAATTAGCATGTGGTCTGCCATTCTCACTGCTAACGGGGGAAGACGAAACGAAAAGAATCCAATAAAGCAATCCGTAGGCAATACGTACGAGGACGCCATGGCGGGCGAGAAGAGAGAGACAAGAGTTAGGTGAAACTTGGGCGGGTGAGTTGCGGTTCTCAGAGGCTCAAAAGGGGATCAAAAGGGTATCAAAAGGGTATCAAAAGGGTATATCGACCAGAGGGAGGAGTAAGTTTGACTCTCGTCAACAATCAGGGTCTAACAGCGATTCCTAGCCAGACGAAGATCGCAACCATGGAGATAAGAGATAAAACGGGTATCCGGCAAGCTGATCGGCAATGACACGACACGGGGAGTGTTCTTTTTCCAAGGGAGGGGAGGGAGAGCAAAACGATGGGGGATTTCGCAGGGACAAAAGAAAAGGGCCTAGAGATGCAGGATCCCGATTAGGAGAAGGGGGTCTAGGCCACGGCACGACAAGGAGAGGTTGGCAGGTCGGGTGGAGGGAAAAAGAAGAATCCCAAATGTCTTGGAAGCTCTTAGAGTAGCCGGTAGAGAGACGATGGATGGAGAAGAAAGTCGGAGTTGGCGTGGGAGCGGGAGTTGACGTCGAAGTTGGAGTTGGAATTGGAATTGGCGCTGGGAAAGGGAAAAAAAAAAAAAAAAGAAACTCCAGACTGGGGCGGGTATGGTATGGTATGGTAGTTATTACGCCTGGTATTTGCTGGGTTATCGCTGGTATTGCGGGTACTGGGTTACCCGAAACCGCGCTTGGGGATGGCTATGGGCAAACAAACAGTATCTGGTACGGTATAACTAACACCTATGCGTAAGGCCCTTCCAACTCCTCCCAGAAGAGAGAGAACAAGAATTGTTTCTTGTATTTGTATTTGTATTTGTTGGACATCTACTAATTTTCAATCTTGATAGAAAAAAATACATCTACACATTCTTGGGTTTATTGCCTTTTCTTGTTAAAAATCCACTGTGTTAGTTAGGCATGGATGGAGCTGTGTTTCCAGTTTCATCATTGCAGCTATGATGATGAATGAGCCCTTCATTAATTTCTTCCCCCAATCGAACCGAAAGCCCCTTTTTTTTTGTTTTTTGTTGCCTCTGCAAAGCATCTTTTTCTCTCCCTCTCTCTATCTAGATATTTTTCTCTGGCAGTATTTCAAGGTTTGTACCTGAACCTCAAACCACAAAAAAAAGAAAAGGCCATTAGAGAATTAACTTCCATGGAGAAACTCTCTTCAATTTCGAGGGCAATAACTAATAAAATTTCTAATAAATAAATAAATTAAAACCAAAATTCAACCATTATTTCCACCCAGGGTTTGGGTCCCTTCAAGCCCCCTTCCCTTCCCTCCTCCCCATTGGGTATTTCGAAAATCCTAAATATATCATTCCGGCTGGCCTCTCCTCTCCTCTCTCTCCCTGACGCCGTTGTTACGCTGGACGCTGAGCCTTCCTTATCGCCCTTCTCTCCTCTTTTGCCCCCTTCCCCCGTTGTTGTGCACGATAAAGGCCGCCGTGGGGCGAAGAAACAAAAATCCCCCTTGCAATTTCCGAAACACACTTGATTAACTAATAATAATAAAGTTAATATAACTACTCCGTACACCCTTCCTTCCTTCCTTCCTTCCTCCCTTCCTTTTCCTCTCTCCCGCCCGCAAAACTTCGGCTCAAGATTGCCAACTGGCAACAAACAAGTCATCCATTCCAGCTATCTCTCTCTCTCTCTCTCTCTCTCTTTTCTTCTTTTGGACATTCCTGTGACGTCAACTGGCACCTCTAACCGCCACCGAACGCCCCTCTGTGGACGATCTGCCAATGGGGACCGGGGGGGGGGGGGTACTATGTATGCGTAGTTCTTAAAACGGAGTTGCCAACGCTGGCTTCTAGTTATCTGTCGACTGTGGCGGATGTGGTATTTTAGTTACATACGTATTTATTATTATTATGCAGGCTTGCTGGCCCTTGCAGGGTGTGTGTGGTCCCTCTCGTAACTTATTAGTGGCGCGCCGGACGGGCGCTTGGGGGGAAACGGCTTAGTTTGGGATCTGGGGCGTCGCCAGGATGATGATGGATGGAATGGATGGTGGGGGGGGGTGTGGATGAGATGAGATGATCATTATTTGGGGGGGAGTGAAGAGTGGAAAACTATTAACTAACTATCATACAGAGTACAATGAATGTGCCAGTGTGATGGGACAATATGCTGCTGTCCTTCAAACAAGAAGAAGAGTTCAAGAAATTGAACAACTTACCTGATATCAAAAGAGGATATATCACATTTTATTGTGACTTGAAACATCTGACTATCTCGAAAGTAGTACTCTGTACTCCGTATTCAGGGACAAAGTTGATTTTTAACAACAGTCTCAAGTTTATTTATATGAACTTTTTACTCTTACAAGCTACGAGATGTATATTTCCCTCTCACCTATTTCAAAAGAGTTCAAAGTTACCTACAGTCTGTAGAGCTGTATATTTTTCAATAAGCTTCAGTGTTAAAAGATCAATCATACAAAGTATGAGATACAAAATCAATACAGAGAGTATGTAAAAAATGAGTGTAGGTTTAATTCATTTGTCTAGCTAAGATGCTATTTGCTACTTATAAAATAAACAAAACCACGGCATGGGGAGACATGCATGCATTGCAGATGCCAGATAGAATTGCAGAAAGAAAAGAAATGAAGGAATGAAAGAGTGTGGTTGTCTGGCAGTATGATAGTTGAACAAAGAAATGAGGGAAGGGACAGAAAAGTAAATAAGCAAAGAAACAGTAAAGAAACAAGAGCAATACCTGAAATAAGAAATGACAAATGAATGACTAGGGTGAGAAGCAAAATCAAAAGAAAACAAATAACAGAATTGGAAGGAGGAAAACAATACACAGGAAATGTGTGTGAATCAAGCCATCAAGGCAAGTGAAAGATAAGAGGCATTCCCAGTAGTATGTATTTTGCAGCCATACACTGGAACCGTGAATATGAAAGGCGGAAGGGGAAAAAAAAAAAAAAAATAAGAAAAACCATCCCAAGCACTTGGAAATATGGTGTTGGGGATGAGAGAAACCAAGCAAGGAAGCTTTAAACGATAATGGTATAGGTAGGCGAGAGGAAGCGGGGGCCGTTCGATCAGACGAGTCTGTCTGGCCAATAATACCTTGAAACCAGTCATCAACTCCCTTCCACCCTCGCGGTGTCGCTAATTCCCAACATCCCGTTTTTTCCTTATATGAAAAAAAACCCTTCCATGCATTCCTCCATATGATATGCCCCTCTAGACGCCGTGCTAATGGAAGCGAAAATAGATAAAGAAGAAAGAAAAAGAACTGACACCAAACGGGACACCTTGAAAATATGCTCCAAGCTAACCGGTCATATAATCATATCGAATCATCTCACCCGTGCCATGAAACCAAAAAAGCCGAGCACCCCGGAATAACGGGATAACACGAGAAGAAACCGAACTCAGTAAAGATATAGAGAAGAGAAGTGTAAAAATGAACTCCTAACAGAAAAACTAACGGGGGGTGGCTTCAACCATTATCTGAATTATCAATGCCCGGCGTAGTAAGGAAGTGAAAATAGAAAATAGAGGGAGCGGTACGAGCCAAATGCGAGTTGACATTATCGGAAAAAAATACTCCATGGATAAGCCCCCACCTTAAACCCTTTTCCCCCTAAAATAAGCTTGATTAATGGTTGGAATCGAGCTTCAGAATGCGGCGCAAGTCAGCCTCCATCTGCTTTGCGTCAATGGGGTTAGTCCTGGTAGAGCCGGACCGAGGAGAAGGCACATCTGGATTCGCATGTGGATGGACCCTGTTTGGAGTGGGAGACGTGAGATTCACGTATGTCTGAGAGCGCTTTAGGTGCGATTGGTTACCCTCGGTCGAGAAAGGCGGGCGGTCGGTAGGGCTTGTAGAGGAGAGCTCCCGGCGAAGATTGGACGACGGAGTTCGAGACGCTTGAGTGCCGTTACAGACGGACGACAGGTATTGATGTGCAATGCTACCACTGCCTGGACTGCGGCCTTTGGGGGAAATTTTTGGTTCTTCCGACGGAACTAGGGTTGGCGGACCGGAGGCGTGTCGAGCGAACGGCATGGCATTACCAGCAGTCCAACTTCTCGAGCCACCGAGGAGGTTCGAGTCGTTAAGCACCTTAGGCGACGCAGATGACGGGCGTTGAGGTCGTGGATTTAGTAGTAAATCCTTCAACGCCTCGGTTTTGGCTTTCCTCTGGTCTTCGTCGAGCGGCACGGCGTCGTTCGATTTTGAAGGAGAGCTGGCCGAACGAAGAGCATTAATTCTGTCCTTGTAGGGAGTAGCGAATGACGGTCCAATTGCCATTCTGCGATTGTCCGGCGATTCCAGCTCAAGTGGGAAAATAGCCCCGGGGGTCACTTCTTGTGCTTGCGACCTTGGCTGGCTCTGGAGATTTGGCTGCGATGGTGAGGGTTTCATAGATTTGGTCACGCTTTTGGTTGGTCTGTTCGTAACCTTTGCCCCCTTTGCAGATTTGAAAAGAAATTCCAAAGGCGATGGGATCTCCTCTGTGCTTTGTGGAGGAGCAACGGCGGTCTTGGGCTTTGTAGGCGTGTGGTCAAGAGGCCCTATGACTTGCGACCCACCTTCGGGTGACCCCAAGGCTGCTCCCCCATCCGGTACAGATTTTGAGAAGAAGGTTGGGATAGGCAGAGCGGAGGGAGCAGGAGATGCATGGAAAGTTGGGCCAGCATAATGGGTGCCGTCTTTGAGGGTAGATAATATGTTAGGTTGCGATGCTGAGTGACCGTGGCCAATGGTTGTGCCGTTGGTCATTGGTGAAGGGTTGGAAGATTGGGTGATGTTCTTCTTCACTGGTTTCCCTTTCTTCTTTTGCGACGCGCCCTCAGAAACAGTATTAATCAAAGCTTCTCCAGGACTGGGACTCGGCGGACTCAAACGAGCGGGTGGAGGAGTGGAGTGGTTTTGGTTTTGGTTTTGGGTGGAGGATCCGTCGCGAAATGTAGTGTTGGCGGGGGGGCCCGCCTTGGAGTTTTTTCGAGTACGGCGAGGGTTGCGAGGGCCCTTTGGGGTAGTAGGGGTCGGAGTCGACATTATGACTCAAAAATATGGCTTAATAAATAGGCAGCCTGTATGTAGAGATAATAGAAGGAAATATAAACGCGACAGAAGAAGCCAAAAAGATCCACGCGAAAAACCGATGGGCTAAATGACGCCAGATAAAAAAGCGAAACACCCAAGACGAAGGAATCAAAAAGCAGATCTATTGCTGCGAATCAAGCGTTCGATCGAAACGAGTACCAGAGCCGAAAACAATCACGAATGTGAGGGATCAAAGCTAGGTTCTCGAGGGCGTTTCTTTGGAGGCGATGAAGGTGCTGTGTATCTGCGTGGTTGGGTAGCTGAAAGGAATGACTGAGTGAAGGAGAGGGAAACAGATGCCTGAAGCATATTCATAATTTAAGAAGCACACGCATAAGTGGTGGAAATATATGAAGAATAGAATAGTAACTGATATCTAGGAAGCGCGGAAGATGGTGGAAGATATGGATGCGATAGATGAAGGTGAGGAGGATGAAGTCAAGAGACAGAGAGAGGTTGTTGTTTGTTGGTGAGGTTGACGCAGAGCCGCGCCCGCCATCCATGACGAGACCAGGAACCAGCCACAGATAACACCAGCCACAGGCATTTTGCCTATTTGGGAGGTGAGGCTCAGTGAACTCCTCGGAGATATAGATCTTCCGAGCTAGCTCACGCTCTGCTTATGTCATAGCGCCGGTTGTCCCTCGCTCGATCAACGAGAGCAGTGATACTATCATACTAGACGCCTGAATTCTTGGGGAGTGAGAGCAACCTGTGGATTTTGTGAAGCTATCTAGCTGTGGGATGATCCTTATTTTGTTTAAGTCCCCGAAATACGCCTTTGATGCTAAATAATCTAACCAGTAGCTAGTTATCTACTTCAATCAGGGCGCGCCGCCGAAGGCATCAGCAACCACCACCACCCACCACCCCAGAGCTCTCTATTGTCTACCTAGGTACGGAGTACTCAACAACACTTCCCGGTCTTGAAACACTAGCAACCTTCCGCGATATCCCTCCTTGTTACTTCCTCATTACACCTTTACGTACACATCATATTCGTTTTGAGGAAAACGGAATCTTCTCTCACACCCCCCCCTCCAACCATGGCCGACGTCGAAATGAAAGATGCTGCCCCCAGTGCTTCTGGGAAGTCAAAAGCTGTTGCTAGAGGAGGAAAATCAGCTCTCAGTGAGGCTAAAGGAGATGCAAAGAAACGCTTTGAGGTGAAGAAGGTTCGTTTTTTATAATTTAATTTTGCGGTGTAGCAGAGGCTTCTCTCTCTTTCCCGATTAGAATAGCTAACAGTTTGGGTTGTTAACCTCCCCCCGTGATAGTGGAATGCCGTTGCACTGTGGGCGTGGGATATCGTCGTGGATAACTGTGCCATTTGCAGAAACCATATTATGGATCTATGTGAGTTTTCAGTAAGATTGAAAGGGCGTGGATAGTGTAATTTTGGGGCGATGCTTGAGGGACAGAGAATTGAATATCATAACTGACTGCTTTTGCTCTATGCCTGCAGGTATCGAATGCCAGGCAAACCAAGGCTCATCCACGACAGAGGAATGCACTGTTGCTTGGGGGATTTGTAACGTGGGTTATCTCTCCCTTTCTCATTTCATATATGTTGTTGATTCGTTGTCATTCAAAATGGCTAATCAAAATATCCCGTCGATAACGTATATGTTTATAGCATGCGTTCCACTTCCACTGCATTTCGAGATGGTTGAGAACCCGACAAGTGTGCCCGCTAGATAACAGAGATTGGGAGTTCCAGAAATACGGACGATAGAGCTAAAATTATACAACCATCCATACAACCAAAACGGAACGGGACCGGAGTTCCAATAATTTTCTTAACGTTTTTCTTGGGAGAATATATTTCCTTTCAACCCCACCCCCGGAATTTAACACCCAACATCGCAGTGTTGACTAGGGAATGGCATGTGGAGGAGCGAACTCATGAGGCGAGTTATTTAGACCGGCCAGGTGGTAAGCTTGAGGGAAGACGGAGGGTTTGGAATAGAGGCTATGCGATGACGTTACGAAACATATTAATGAAACAAGGCCTTTTTTTTTTTTTTTTTTTTTTTGTCATATCTATTGAAAGTTCATGGGGATTACTACACTTAAATTCCGAAGAACGAAAGTGAAAGTAGAGCGTTATTTCATTTCTACGCGCCCTATCACTTCCGCTTTACCCCCCTTCCTTCCACCTTGATGCCATGTATACGATCGCTATGTCCCTCAAGAAAACCAGAACCAAAAAAAGAAGTCCAAGGAAACAGAAACCCAACCCATTCCATTCCATTTCTAGAGTATCACTATTAGAAACACAAAATAAGAAATAATCCAAATACACGCATTCTAACTCCCATTGTTCCTCCCCCTACGTTAAAGCAAACCCATCCGTCACCGCTTCCCCCCATCCACCACAATCCCTGCCCTTCCCACACCCCCAGATCCAGCAATCAACCATGGTTCCGGATGTTTATTATACATCGGCCAGGGCGGCACAACGACCAGCGCTGTGATGAGCGTCCCCGCCAGCCCGATCCAGAGGGTCAAGTGTACATCTTCGTAGGTGTACCCGACGATGAAAGCGATCGCCTGTGTGTCCAGGTGGAGTTATTATCGCGTGTTTGAATTTTCTTTTATAGAGTTCAACGGAAAGGGGGAAGAGACGGGGGGGAGACGGAGGAGAGAGGGAGGAGAGAGGGAGGGCTTACAGCAAAGATGCTGAGGAGGCCGGTACAGAGGTATTCAGCGATGCGCTGGCCGTGGAAATCCTGCAGTCGATTAGTTAAAGGGCATTAGCTCTCTGTTTTTCCGGTTCATCAAGACTTCATATTGCCAAAAGCCATCATCGAGACTCTGTGCGTAGTGCGCGCGTTGTTTGGGCAATTGTCTTTATTTCTAGACTTGCGAGAATTGCATGACGGTTTCCCGCAAAAGCGTCCACTGTAGGGCGGTATTTGGTGACGGAGATTGGGAAGGGAGATTGCAAGATCTTGTGGATATAAATTGTACGTACAATTTGGGCCTCCAAGAGATCTTGGAGGGGAGCGAGTATATCATCCATAGTGGGAGCTTGTGGTGTCTAGGACAGGTGTGCTCTGTAGATGGTAGATTTGGTTGATGTCGGGTTTTGATGCGGTTTGGCTTCTGGCCAGGTTATGGGGAACTGGAAGCTTCCCTGACCTAGCCGGATTAGGCCTAGCCGTTTTATGTACTGTACTATGCCTCAACCTCAGGAGGGGAACTAGTGATCCCAATAGCTAATTCACTTGACTGAGATAGCTATACCCAGTTTGACCCTGATTCCAAGTTAAAGTTTACCGTCTGTCCGTTTCATCGAACTCTGTTTACTTAACAGAGTTGAAAATCCGCTCTGGGCGGATCTAGATATGCTCGGCCGACGAATATCGGGCGTGCGACAGCATTAAGCCCTTAGCTCTTGAACCATACTCATAGATTATCAACTATGATCTTGAGCCACGGGCCCCAACTCCAGGATGGTTGCCGAAAAGTCGATCAATTCAACCAATACCTCGGAATCTGGCTCTATCCAAGGATAAAACAGAACGGCAATAGCAGACTTACAACACTACAGGAATTCTTTGGATATTTGTATGTTATTGTACTCCTACGCAGTATCACTTTGAAAGATGAGCGCCGTTATCCTTGTTGCAACAGAGGGATGTGGGAGAGATGTCAACTACTGGTATCACCCTATCAAGAGTAAGTATTAATACAAAAAAAAAGGCTGTCTCAGCATCTTCCCCGTCAGATATAGATAAAAGTCCAACTGGAACCAAATCGCCTACCAAATCGAGGCAATTGAGAATCAACGCCCTCAACATTCCATGAACAATGAAGATGTTACACTTAGAGAAACGGAGGGCGCTATGGATGACAAGGTACGCAAATTCACCGGCTTTCACCGGTTTCTAATATGCGCTGCTTGTTACTTGTCGGCTCTATGTATGGACTCGACGCTACTATGGCAGCAGACTTTCAAGAAGGAGTTATCTAGACCTTCCACAATTACCAACAATTCGCCTGGACTGGCGCTGGTTTCCCTCTCGGATCGGCAGTAATCATTCCTTCCTACGTTTTTTTTTCTCTTCACACGCTTCAACACGAAATGGTTCTATATCTCAGGGATTGCGCTGTTTCGGTGATTTCCGGCCTTTGCGGTGGCGCTCCGAGTATGAACGTCTTGATTGTCAGGCGTGAGATGGCCAGAGCTGGAGGGACACGTGTCTATCTGGGAGACCTGAACTACTTCTTGCCATGAACCCGGCCAGAGCATGGAGCAAGCGCATCTCCTCGGGATAGATCTTGTTTGGGCATGTGGAGCGATTCTAGAACTATTCGTTGGAATTGGGTTCTGGGACTCGTCTGCAACATGGCAATGGGGATACTATATCAACTCTATCATCGATGCAATCACAAGTCCTGTCTATTTGTTTTCCCTCCTATCAATCCATCCGGCTCGTTCGGAGCCGCTGGAAGGTCGACTGGCTAGTTTGGACTGTGTTGCAACATTTGTCCTGAGTGCAGGAATGTGGACCACTTTCGCTATGGGGTTGATTTTTACCAGAGGCATGTGGCAGAGGAACGACGGTCGTGCTTTTACAGTTGGGTTGCTCTCCTTACTCTTTATACCCTGCAACAACCCTTCTACAGTTTCACAACACCCGAGTCAGATCATTCCCCTGCCACCTACTCAGGTCCTGCACTCACATACTGTTCTATATAATGGCTACTGGTGCCAATACATGTGGGTCTTCTTCACCATGTTTTATTAACCCATCTACTTCCAATTCACACGGAACGATACTTTCGCCAAGGGCCGCGGTGCAGCTACTCCCCTGCCTCTCGTTCACCATTACCGCTAACATAGTCGCTAACATGGTCAGCTGGTGGGGCCTCTCTAAGATCAAATATTATATGAGATTCTCGCCACAGTCATGTACACTGTTTGCCAGACTTAATAATAGTGAGCTGCAGACTGCAGCAATTCGAGCCATCACTGAGGTGATGATACGGGGTTCGTCATTCCACGTGTGGCTAAAGGTCTAAGCATTACTGCCTCCTTGCTGACAAGATCGGGAAATGCTGTTTGGGTAGATGCTGTCGGAAATATATTCCGGGGCAAATTCAATTGGGAGAGCACGAGATAAAGCGATTGGCAGAAGCAAAATAAATTCTAGTCGCTTCCAATACTTCGTTCCGATAATGATAATAGCCCTCCGCCAATGAACCTAGTCATAGATATTGGGGCGTACAATATCGCCTATTCCCAAGTTGTTTGTACGGGTGTACAAATTCGACCAAATGAACCCAAGTCAGAAGTCGGAGTAGGTTTGCCTGCGTGTTGTTAGCGCAACTATCCTAACACGGCCAAGACATCACATTTAGCCCATTTTATGAATTAGCATGCAGGGATAGTCCTTACTCCGGCGAATGCGGCCGTCCCCTATTCTGTAATCTTCTGCACTGATTCAAAGGAGCTTCATCGCTTTCAACCTCATCATATTTTGCTTACCATGAGCTGCTCCACTGTTACACCCTCTCACCATGGCCATGCAACAGGAACGAAAGCGCCGCATTCAAGCGTGTTACCCCTGCTACACGCGCAAGCAGAGAGTGTGTAAAGTTTTCCCCCATGGGCAACTTGCAGAGCGCAGAAGAACGCAGAAAAAACGGGTGCCGATTAGTTTCCCAGTGTAACCGTCAGTATCCATGCAATCACTACAGCCGCCGTCGACGGGCCGAAGAGTGTATATATAGCTCTCCTTCGGTAGATGGTTCCGCCCGTCGTCCGGCAGCACCTGTCCCGGACGCTCGGAGCCGGCTACCACCCCAGGATGCGCAGCAGTCGAGAAGTGGATCAACCGAACATGAACCTGAAGGTTACCAGCCTAGCAAGAACTGTGCCATAGCCAAGACTTTTGGATACTTTGAGGATAGCAACACTAACACGATGACTCTGCTGCGGAATGTGTGTTGCCTAATAATTCTAGTCGGGACAGTTGCTTAGAGCTTATTCGACCTTTTTAGGTTGACTTGATCTATGAGGACTACAAAGATCTACTCGAACCCCCCATGCAATCTATGAGGGATACAGTCCAACTTCAGCTTAGGCGTATACCAGACCGCCAAACAAGTTATCCACGCTCCCAGCTTCTTAGCCCACTATCAGAGATGGTGGCCCAAAAAAGAGAACCCAATGGCTGTGTCTGATATCGAGTTTGCAACTCTTATTGCTCTCATTGGTTCTTATGCAACGCTGTTTCTACCTTCGCCCTCCCACAACGTCGAAAACATCTGTGGCCGGTCACTCTGTGATATTCGCGACACATGCAGTGATATTGGAGAGAAACTTGCCAAAGTCTGTGAAACCTTCAAGGGAAGGGTTCTCTCTTTCGTGTGCAACATGTCTTGTTCGCCGCATTGAAGCAGTCATGTGAAGGGGGTACAGCTCAGTTTTGGGAGGGCATAGCTTCTGCGTGCCGAGCCGCTCAGAAGGCTGGTATTTACACAGTGCCTACCGATACGCTAGATTCCTCCCTTTCCACTGGAGATAGTGCCCAAGAGCTAGAAAGAGAGGTCCGGGATGACTTTCTTCACTCTTTATGTTTTGGACAGGTATGCCTCCAGATTATTACAACTAGGACGGGTTTACTGACACCATTTTGATAATAGCCATTTAGCCAGACAGCTAGATCGGGTCCCTTTATTACCCGATTATTTGGTCGCAGAGACATTGCCCCGGTTGGCCTGATCTCGGACCATGGCAATTTACCGCCAGGCGCCCATGTTAATGCTCCAGATGTATTTGGCTGATGGAAGCTCAGCTAAGCCGATTCTGGCAGAGTTTCAAATTAAAGAAGAACTCCCCGTATGACCCAACGGAGCGGGAGCACAGATATGAGAGACTCTGCGCCGAGTATCTGCCTACCCTAGACCCAGCATTCGCTATAGATCACCCGGACATGACATGGGATATATCTCTTCCAAATTTACCTATGCAAAGGCAGCTCTTGTACATCGCTATTTACGACTCACTCTATTGGAATTTCCGGACAGTTCTGCTGCTCAAACCAGGCTATATCGACAGCCTCCACCCTTATAAGCGAGTACTTGTCCAGTCCCAAAAGCAGAGACTTGGTCTGGCTGCAATGAAAACGCTCGAGGCTGTTACCACCCTCCATTCAATGTTTGGTGTCTCTTGTACCCGCTTTGCCGTCATTATCTTCAACACCTTCGAGGCTACCGTTTTGTTGCTGTACCTTTGCGCCCATGCGGATTTTCCATTTGAGCAGGGAGACAGAAACACTGATATACTGGGCGTGAAGCTTAAACTGACCTATCAAAGGGCGATTCAAGTGAGTAGGCAGGCTGTTAATCGTCTGCAAATGCTGGCCGAGATGAGCGAGATGGCTGCGTCCGGCGCTGAGGTGACGGCTCAGCTTTTCATCAAAGGTGTCAGGGCCAGGCAGCTTCAAAGCCCAGGTACCGCCGCTCCGGCTAGTCCTGATACTTCATGGAAACCTCCAGATCAGCCTACTATGGAGGCCATCAATGATATCCAGGACCAGTGGGGGTTCTTAGAACAAGAAAATCCCGTTTTGACGACGGACATGTTCTCCTCAATATTACAAGACGATTCCTTTTCAAATCTGCAGCAGTCATCACTGGAGATCCCGATGGCATGGAGAGGTACGGGGATCTAGTACTGTTTAATTATGCTTCAGAGCCTCGCGGACAGGCCCTGCGGTCAGCCATGATTTCTTGACAGCAAACAATGTATATGTCCGTTTTGCAATGGCTTGAAAAATAAAACCTTATGGAACAAGAAGACAATGGCAAGGCGATGATTATGATTATGATTAAAGGATGTGTTTGGGAATAGAATATTACGACAACTAGATAAGTAATTATTATGAAAACTTGATAAGATTATTTATTTATACTTTATTCTACTCCATAGAGAAACTGATACCCCCTCGTTCGAAGGGAAGCGTGTGTCATGATGGCCGAACAATCTCTGTGACACCGATCACCGTCTTCCACGGTGCAATGTGTTTTCTTTCTCCAACAACAAATGGCAGATCTCCACCACTGTATACTGACCAAATATAGGCGCTGGGTGTCATTGTGCCATAGCTCGAAAGATTGCAACCGGACTAAAAAGAGATGCTACGCTCGCACAAGGTTGGCTGGGTAGTTGATCAAATCTTTCAACCCAGAGAATAAATCCACCACTAACCCTTCCTGTATGCTGGAATTCCGACACTTCCTTCCTACAGATGCTCTATCTATATCCATGCCTATATAAGTGTGGATATGTAGACATACAACCGGATCTTGGTCCCTCTATCGGGCCGGCATGGCATGAGGCGGACACAATGATTCAAAGACAGCATCTCCAGCTGGCAGATGGCGAAGGAGATCCAGAGTGGATAGGCAGAAATGAAAGTTCAAGGGGAGGATGCAAAACATGGCTCAGAGAGCCTGCTAGCGTGTATATATAGATGTATCAATGAAGGAAGGATAGAGAGATTCTATCCCCCTTCCCCCTCCGGTAACAACGAAGCGTACGAGGCAAACCTATCTAAATCCACCAGTGAAAAAAAAGGCCGGGGAACTGGACAACACGCCGCATTCCATCCAGCATCAGATACCGGGGACGGACGGGAAACCAGTCACTAAAGCAGGTGCTTGATGCGCTACGGTACCCCCCCACCTCCAATCCTACCTCGTTAAATCAGGCCTCGCGGAGTTCTACCACTAACCACTATTTCATCTCCAGTGTCATGGTCGTGGTTACCAACCCCTGCTCCTGATCCTGACCCAACGCCCACCCGTTTACGTGTGCTACCGCAATTATGGACAAGAGAAGAAAGACCGCAAACAGGGTTTCACGACTAACGAGGCATAAATCTAGTCAAATAGGCCCCTTTCTCAAAGGAGCCGGGAGTTCTGCGGGCGGACAGGCGGGCCGGATAAGATCAAGCGGAATAATCGGAAAGAGGAGGGAAGGAGGATTGAAGGAGGGGGTTCATATTGAGCAGATATGATGAGATTTTTGCATTTTGTGCGATGGCTGAAGCCGTTCCCCAACTCATCCGTGGGACTCTTAAACCAATTTCATTTTCAAAAAAGATCCTGCAACTTATATAAATGCATGATTATAATAACCACCTAGATTTATGATATAGACGGTAAGGCAGTAGTAGTAAATTACAGATATTTGTCGGAAATTCCAATATTCTATTGAATGTCTGTTTCCCACAAAAGAAGATCGACGGAACACAAATTAAACGAACAATTTAACTTCTTAATGATGTTCTCCTCCCATACACCTCCCAAAGGTAGCTAATTCAAAGGCGTAGAATGGATGTGCATTGGCTTGGCTCTGATTGGCTCATTCCTACATTGAACTTGCAGGTGGCTGGCCGGAGGGGCTAACTTTATCTGCTGCAATTCTGCACCGAGTGCTCCGTAGCTGAAGAAGAGAATAAAGAAGGGACGAATGGAGCGAACCAAGGGCATGCATGCATGCATGCTTCATGTCATTAGTTTTTGGGCTGATGTTTGGCGGGGTAAATAAGTCCGAGCTATCTGAGCACGAAGGCGACTGACCCAGAGGTTCTGTGGAGGTGGGCGGAGAGAGATCGCCGTAGAACTGAGACACTGCCTGCCTTCTGCACGCAATCCCGGACGAGCCGTGATATGTGATGATGTATGATGATGATGATGATGATGCTATGTTGGCGCTGTTGTTGATGTTGAAGTTGACAGTCCCGTGACAGGGCCCAGACTTGCCCGAGCCCTAACGCGAGCCCTAACTTAATTCTAGGCCTGGCTGACTAACCCACTTGGGCTTGGAGCCGATGGCAGCCGCCAAGCCGCTAAAAAAAAGTTTGTTTAGCCCACCAACAACTAACCCAGCCGCAGACATTCGCCGCCCGCCAGTCGTCGACATTCAACCTCATCCCATCTGATATCTTCGTCCTTGTGCTGTTTCTCTTGGTTCCACCACTTATACACCCTTTCAATCAGCCCATTCTGTGGCCCTATACTGCCTGATATCTGAACCTATCTGTTTTCTGCCCTTCTAATCTTTGTGTGTGTATTATACCTCCCCCATTGCTTGAATCACAGCTGGGTATCGCATCTGCGCACTCATCTCGATCATCTGTGAGACGGCCAGCCAAACAGCAAAGCCCGTCTCTTCCTCTCCCGCATCCTTCAATCCAGCGACCCTGGAGTCACTGAACTCCTCTTCTTCACCTACAGTCAAGTTGGCGGGGCTCAACTACTCCAAGTTCTCCTTCATCCACCCACTGCTGGGCCCAAAGTTCCGGGTCTTCTCTGGGGGCGACATTCGGCCTCCATAACTAGCCTTTCACCATAGCAAGAACCTTTCATTCTAAATATATATATATATATATATCCCTATATACATATATATATCTATCAAGGGCTGTAGAAGCCTAACACGGAGCAAGCAAGCCCTATCGCCCGTGGGCTGGGCTGGAGGAAAATTGGGACACCCATACCTTCGTGTGTCCACACCCGCGGCATCCTTTCAGTTGTGGCCTAGTCAACGCGCAGTGGGTCGCTTCCGGGCGTCTCACCTCTATAACGAATTCCGCACATCGCGCGAGCGTCTTTTCCGGGAAGGGAAGAGGATTTTACAAAAAAACAAAAAAAAGGAGGATAATCAACAAATCTGGCTTGTTCAATAATCAAAAGGGTCGATCCACTCATTCGCCATGAGTGAATCACCAAGATCGGAGAAGTGCCAGACCCGGTTCAGCACTCCTGCCCCAGAGCTTGATGATCATCGTTTCCAGCCCGAGTCTCTCCCTAGGGCGGATACGGTGGGCGAAAATGTGCTGAGCTGGCAGGAAAAGTTATTGCAGGCGCGCCAGGCACAGGAAGCGGGAAGCCCAGCTTCCCGCCGTGCGAATGATACTTTGCATCCCGAAGTGGGGATGATATCGAGAGATTTTGAGAACGCTATTATCGATGATGAGCTTGGTGGCCCGGGTGACATGCGTTCCCCTGCAAGCCCGCTCACAGCGATGCGACCGAGTCTCCACAGTCGTAGCTTCACTGTGCATGACCGCCCGACTCGTTCTCGAGCCTCGTCAGCATCAAGTCAGTCGACCTCCCCACCAAATTCTGTCGAGGCGTTTGCCGAGCCGCGTCGCCGTGAACGCGCCAACACGATGGAGAGCCATGCGCCGTTGGACTTGGACATCGCTCTCCAGAGGACCATGTCCTCCGGTACCAATAAGCGCCGCGGTACCTTCAGCAATGCGAGCGCCATTGGTGTGGACGCCGTGGACCCCAGAGCAGGACTCAGCGAAGAGGCGGATGTGTGCTTCCCTGCGTACGATGAGCCCGGAAAGACATCAATCATCGACTTCGAGGAGTTGGAGGAATTTGTTGCTCTGAGCAAAAAGGCTGGCCCTGTCCTGGCCCGCAAAGTTAGCGTCACTTCGCAGAGGAAGCCTCGCGTCTTCCACGATCTGAGGCCCGGGTCGGAGGCGAGGGATATCCCCAAGATTGTCATGCGACCTTCGACCCCTGAAAACGATTCTTCTGTATCCACAGACACTGCCGCTGGTCTCACAAAGCATATTAGCCACGCTGCGGATGAAAAGGAAGTTAAGAATCTCCATAATGAGAACGAGCGCAATCGTTTCAGCTTCTTTTCGTCCGAGTACCAGAACACCGTCCACGCCTGTGAACTGGGCGGCCTGGTGCTTGAAGGGGAGACTTTCCGTGACCTGTTCCATCTAGGCCCTGAAGGGGGTGTATGGTGGCTCGATGTCCTCGACCCGACCAATGACGAAGTAGGAGCTATTTCGCGAGCCTTCTCCATCCACCCTTTGACTGCAGAGGATATCATGATGCAGGAAGCTCGCGAGAAAGTAGAATTGTTCAAGCAGTATTACTTCGTTTGTTTCCGAAGCTTCTACCAGCTCGATAAACTCAGTGAAGACTTCCTGGAGCCAATCAACGTTTACATGGTCGTTTTCCGCGAGGGAATCATCTCCTTCACATACACGGAGAATCCGCATGCGGCCAATGTCCGGAAGAGAATTTCGAAGTTGCGCGACTACGTGTCTCTCAGCAGTGACTGGGTTTGCTACGCAATGATGTAAGTTCAGAATATTCTTCATCAGCAACCTTCCAATTTCTTTATCGAAAAGAAAAAACCCACAAAACTAACAAAACCTCCCACCATAACAGTGACGACATCGTGGACAGCTTCGGCCCCGTCATCCGCGACGTCGAGATTGAATCAGAAGCAATAGAAGACCAAGTCTTCATCGCCCGCGTCGAGGACTTCAACGCCTTCCTCCCCCAAATCGGCGGCCTGCGCAAGAAAGTCATGAGTCTCATGCGCCTCCTCGGCGGCAAGGCCGACGTCATCAAGGGCTTCTCCAAGCGCTGCAACGAACAGTACTCCGTGACACCCCGGGGAGACATCGGCCTCTATCTCGGCGATATCCAAGACCACGTGGTAACCATGATGTCCAACCTGGGCCACTTTGAGAAAATGCTCAGCCGCTCGCACACCAATTACCTCGCGCAGCTGAGCGTGACGAATCTCATGCTAGGAAACCGGGTGAATAAGGTGCTGAGCAAGATTACGTTCCTGGCGACGATCCTGGTGCCGCTCAATTTGATTTGTGGGTTGTTTGGGATGAACGTTACTGTTCCTGGACAGACGAGTGAAGGGTTGGAGTGGTTCTTTGGAATTTTGGGAGTCATTGGGGCGATTGTTGTCTTCAGCTTGGTGATTGCGCGTCGCTATAAGCTTCTATAAGCTAGTCTATTCTCGGTTTTTTTTTTTTTTTTTTTTTTCTTATTCTTATACTTTTTTATTGTCTGTTGTATTCGTAGTTGTGGGTGGAATTTAGATGAAAGCACAAGTTTTTCTGGTTTTTATTTTTCATTTTCTTTGTTGCTTACCTTGAGCTATCCTTTTGCTGTCTATTTATGTTCTAGAGTTCATTAACAAAAAATAAATATTGTACATAGTATTGATTCTTGCTGCTCTTTTCTCGTTGTATATATCATACATAATGCCTGTAGCAATACATTTTGCATTCATATCTATATTAATGTAAGAGTCCTTACATCCTAAGATGAATTAAAAAGAATTTCCCCCTGTCTATATCCTTATTTAGATGCCGGTGATAATGGCAAAAAAAATCCCCCCAAAACGCCAAAAATGCCAGCTCCCGCGCCGAACTCAGTGCTTCATCTGCAAGAAACAAAAACAGAAGAAAAAGAGCCAGAGAAACCCTTTTCAATCCAGGACTTTGTTAATGAAAAAGATTCTAGAAAAAGCAGAAGAATCATGCAATCTTCTGCTTCTTAAAATTGAACCCACCATTACCAAACTCCTTCAACCTCTCTTCCCTAGCGCGCTTACGCTCCATATCTTCCTTCATGATGCGCTCTGTGGCGGTGAGCGGTCTAGGTGGAGCTTCTACCTTTTTCTTCTTTGCAGCGCCTGTGAGGGCATTCTTCTTAGACGCGGCGGCGAAGACGTTTTTGGGTTTTGAGGTGGTTGCGCTGAGTTTTAGTGATGTTGATGGTTTGTCGGATTGAGTGGTTGTTGCTGTTGCTGTTGTTGCTGGTAGGGTCGGTTGTGCGGGTGTTGTAGCTGTTGAATCTAATGGAGATAAGCTTTTCGTCGTGGGTTGTTGGCTATTTCTAACCCGTGATGTCGTATTTGGCGGAGCTGGAGATGCAGACGCAGACGCAGACGCAGACGCGGATATAGGAGTAGCAGTTCCCTTCGAAGGTGCAAAGTTCAATTTAATCTTCTCCCCTTCAGTCCGCTGCAACTCCTTTGGGGCGGCCGCTTCGGCATCATCTTTCTCAGCCGATCCCCTCCCCGCGAGTTCTCGATCCCTCTGCGCCCTCCGCACCTGCTCCTCAATCATCTTCCGCTCCCTCTCCTCGTCGCCGCGATCCTGCATCTCCCTCTTCCTCAACGCATCCTGCCTCCTAAGCGCCTCAGGGCTATTATCAATCCACGAAATAAATATCCCCTTCTCCCCCTCCTCAACCCGACAAATCCCCTCCCGCCCCAGATATTTCGCAAACTCCGTCAGACTCGGCCAGCGCGTGGCATTCATGTGTATGTGTTCTTTGTTGGCGATGTATTCTTGGTAGAAGTGGTTGATGTTGATGGACTTCTCTCCATGGCTGGTGCGGAGCTGCTTGAGGAAATCGGAGAGGAAGTCGTTGGAATATTGCTGGATGTATTTGCGCGGGTCTTCGCCGACCAGCAGCATCTGGCGCACATGTGATTCTGACTGCGTGTGGCATTTGAAGCCGTTCTCGTCGCGCATTTGTCGCTCACAGACCTGGCAGTACCATCGTAGGCGCTGGAGGCCTTTGGATTTCAGCTTGTTGCTGAGGTATTTCGTGCTGCCTACTTCGGCGCGAGGCATGGTGGGCTAGTTAATTTCTGCTTCTTCTACCTCTTTATTATTCTCTATCCTTGGCTCTCTTTATATGAGTAGATAAGAAGGAATGTTTCGGTATATCAAAATAAATACAAAACCGATGTGAATATCTCGAGATAACAACCAGCTGGGGTGGCGAGCGTTTAGTCATCAGTGACAACGGATATATGTTTATCCGACAAGCTGACTATCCAACTTCCCTTGATTATTGAAGGGGATGATGTTTGATGCTCCACTTGCTAAAAACAGGACTGCCTGTTGAAAGCTATACATATTCATTTTGCGTCGGTTTCTGCGTTGTATTGCGTTGTCGGACGAATCAATGGGACCTTCCCCAAACCGCAAGCTTTTAGCTCCTAAACCGCATGTTATACAACTCTCCTTGCAGGTTTGAAGTGCATAATACCCAGTACGCACAAGGCGGACGACGCAGCGTGAATGGGCCAACAGAGGCCCATGTTTCTCATACGGGCCCTTTGGAACCCAGCTCAATAGCACTCTCTGAGCAGAAAGTTTCTTTTCAGGATGTCTTGCCTGAAACTCTCCCCCTTGCAAGCCCGCTTCGCGGCATCTCTAGCAGCGACTCTTTTCATCATCATCGTCCTCTACTTCGCCCTCTCGAACCCAAGTCTCGCATATGCTATTGACGTTGACTCGATAATAAGCAAAGATCATAACCATCCAATATTGCGGGATATCGGCTTTCCTCCCGGCCTTGATGACTTAGCTCTCCAAACCATCCCGAGTCTGGACCTGGATGCTGATGCCGCGGATACAGTGGCTTATATCTTGCGAAGAGCTCCAGGAACTGCCATGGCTTTAACGAATAATGTTCCTGAGGAAGGAGAGTTGGATATGGGCGCGACACTTTATTTTTGGATATCTAAGGAAACTTTGGCTGGCCCAAAGTCTAACCCTTCCGCGGGACTCCCTGGGGATAATGAGAATGGATTTCTAGATAATGTTTTAATAGTGGACGAGACGGAGTTGAAGCGGCCGAATGATACGCTGGCTAAACGAGCCACAAAAGTGTATATATCTGCGACCACTTGCTTGCAACCTACGTTCAATGCGACGAGAGAATCGCAGGATGTGGGACCGCCACAATTACAGCTCAAAATTTCCACATCTGGGAATATTGAACAGCCAGCTCCTGGAGAAGAAGACCCGGATTTGCGGGTCATAAACTTTGATGGTGGCTATGCGGGCACCGTCGTTGAAGCTGAAGGGGATATCCACATGGCGGTATCCGCGCCAAGAGACAATAAATATTTCGGCTCATACAAATTCGAGATCGCAGCGTCGATTGATCAATGGTTTCATGAAGCGGAATCTAATATCCCTTATCTATTCTTCGTCGATGGCGATAGCGAGTCAGCTTTGCTTCAGACAAGGGAAACAACTAACGCCAACCCTGACGATGAAATTTACAAAAAATGGATGAACCTTGATCCGCCACCGTTTACAATGTTTGCCCACGATATGAAGGATAAGTCGATTTTGGGTGTACAAAAATCGTACTGCGGGCTTAAAGCCAATGCGCAAATTCGCAAGGACGGGGATAATGTACAGGTCAGCATGACCAACAGGGGCCCCAAGCACAAACCAAAAGAACAGTTCTATATCCGAGGCCTAAATAGTAGTTCATCCTATTACGGGTTTCTAGCAATAGAGGGCAACTCCACTGATTCTGGCAGTGGAGTAGTTGGCGGCGGCGGCAAGGTTTGGAAACCCACGAACTTTACCACCAAGGCAGGTACGCATGATTTTTAACCCCTATAAAGATGGGATGGATCCGTGTGGAGTATTGCTCCCTGACATATATGGTCACGATATACTAACGCCCATATATCCACCAAACAGAAAACAACTGCGCCATCCTACACGACCTCGAATTCTGCTCAGAAGTAGCATACGCCGTCCCCTCCAACCCATCCATAAGCCGCACGGACCTCGCCAAAATCTATGACACCCACGCCCGCAACCTCTACAAAAACTTCTCCCGCTCCCTCGCCCAAATCCCCTGCAACACCTCCGACACATCCCTCTACTCCCTCGCCCGCAACTGCACTGACTGCGCCGCCGCTTACAAACAGTGGCTCTGCGCCGTCACCATCCCCCGCTGCGCCGACTACTCCAGCACCCTCCCCTTCCTCCGCCCGCGCAACACCGCCCAGGCCTTCCCCAACAACACCGCCATCGCCCTGGACAGCCCCCTGCGCCAAATGGTGCTCTCAAACTCGTCGCGCAACGCGCTCATCGACAAGGAGATTAAACCGGGCCCGTATAAAGAGGTCTTGCCCTGCCAGGACCTCTGCTATGAGCTCGTGCAAAGCTGTCCTGCCGCGCTAAGGTTTTCGTGTCCGACGGGCCGGTGGTTGAATGACTCTTACGGGATGAAAAGTCCCAATGGCGATGTTACGTGTAGTTATTTTGGGGCGGTGTATTTCTTGAACGGGGCCGGTGGGGTTGCTGGGGGTGGGTTCATGCTTGTACTCGGCGGAGTTGCGGGCTTTTGGATGGCGTTTTGGATGTTATAGATTCTACATTTTGCGTTTTCTTGCTCACTCTTTCTTTCTCTCTCGCGTTAGCTTTAGCGATTCTATTTCTTATCTCTTTTGGCCGAAACTGGTAGGCATGGAGGTGTGTTATTATCGATCACAGATAGGAGGGGGGGTATGTAAGTCATTGAGGGAACGGGGCAATGGGTTGCCTGATAGTATAATTACTGGCTTGTCTAAGATCGCCGGGCTTTCCACAAAGCTCATCGTCCCACCATTTTTTCGGCACTTTGTTTGAAAACCGGTGTGGTATTGCGAAATATTCATACCCCGGCAATGCTGTTTACCTTGATCCCCTTCTATCATCTACATCCATTTAAAATCATTCTATGGTTGCAGAAGGCTCCGGGGGTTCGCTCTTTTCCATATCTCGGTTCTCTGTTTTCCCTCTCATGAACAGGATAGTAGCACCTTGGTTACACCAACAATACACTTCTGTAATAGACCAATTACTTACTTCACTGAAAGTAGCTAGCTAGCTACCACATATTTTTACTCAACAACGTTCGTTATAATCAATATTTCATGGTCCTTATTAAACTCCAGCCTACTACCCCAAGCAGGAACAGTTCAAACATATAAAGTTCCACCTGCGAATAATTTCTAATATCAATACGCTGTAGAGATGTATATAGAGCAAAACATCGGGATACCAAAAGCATAGAAATGTAGAATGATGTTGATTAACAACAACCTCATATCCCCCAACCTATTCGAACCCAGACCTACTTCCAACGCCTCCACTCCCCCCCCCTCGAGCCCGCGCCCCAAAAAAAATCTACCCTACTTCTTCCTCGGCGTCACCCTAGGCGTCCACATCTCCCTCGATGCTTCCTCAACCCCCACCCCCCGCCGCCGCCCCGGCGTACTCCCCACAGACGCCCACAGCCTCTGCGCCGCCGGCGTCAGCGACGCTTTACTCAACCCCTTCCCCCCACCAGGCGTTCTCCCACCAGCACCAGCACCAGCACCAGCACCAATGCCACCACCCCCAGGCGTCCTCCCAAACGCAATCATAGGACTGCTCGGAAACTTCGGCACAGGCGTGCGGCCATCCCTCCCCGCGCGCTCCGCGCGCTTGTTCGTCGCGACGCGCTCGACCATGCGGTGGTGCAGGCGTTCGCGGCGACGGTTCTCGCGGATGGTGAAGGGGTTCGGGGTTGCGGAGGGGGAGGTGTCGATGTTCATTTTGAGGAGGGAGAGGTGGTAGGCTTCGTCGTGGCCGTCTTCGCCGGGCTGTGCGGGCGCTGGCTCGTCTTCGTCGACGAAGGCGTAGCCGTTGACGCGGGGCGTTTCGCCGCCTGTGTATCCTGGTTCGGAGCCGGCGGGGCGCGGGCGGCCGGCGATGGCGTCGCGGATGGCGGAGAGGGAGGGGGACGGGGGTATGCTGCTGTCGTCCTTCCTGGTGTTGGGGTCCGGGTGTGGTGGTGGGATGGGTTGGACGCGGGTGTTGCTGTATATGACGCGTTTGGGAGCGGCGCGGGATGTGGCTTCCGCCTTCTGCGCGACGGTTTCGTGCGTGTCTTCGATGGAGGATGGGACGAACATGAGGGAGTTTTCGGGCTTGTAGGCCCATGCGTCCGGTTGGGCGGGGCGGGCATCTTGATCGGTTGTGATGGGTTGGAGTTGTTTGTTATCATTATTATTGTTATTATTATTATTCGTAGTAGTAGTCGTCGGACCTTCACCTTCCGAAACCGCAACCGACGCCGAAGCCGAAATCGACAGCGCTATAGAAGAACTGGAAGAAGAAGAGGAGGAGGAGGAGGAGGAGGAGGAGGAAGGAAGAGCAAGCCTCCCCATCCTCTCCGCCTCCCGCTTCCGAAACGCAATCTGCCTCGGCGCCAAAATCTTATTCCCATTCCACATCCACGCATACTTCTGCCGCTTCTTCACATTCTGCCGATCGAGCAACTTATAGAACGACTCGTTGTCTTCACTGGTATACTTCGTCTGGAACGTCGACAGGCTCATATTCCGCACATCCACCACCCCATCCTCACTCCTCGTCGAAGTAGCCATCGAAACCGTCGATCCCGCCACAGACAACGGCGTATCACCACCAGCCCACCTATCAGAACCCCTAGGCGTCTCGGCTCCAGCCGTCCCCGGCGTCCGCGTCCCCGTCCCCGGCGTGGCGCTCCCAGACCTCCCAAACCGCGTAGCAGCAGCCCTCCCACCACCCCGCCGCGGCGTCATAACAGCCTCCAAATTCCTCCCCGCGCGGCGGATCCACTCCCTGTCGCGCGACTCAAGGGCATCCAGATACTCGCGCTGCGTCTGCGTCTCCAGCAGGCCCGGGAAGAAGTCGCGGGCGATGATGTGGGAGAGGGCGTCTGTGTATTCGTCCTCGTCGAGGACGGTGGCGGGGCGTTTTATGCGTTTGGGGAGCGGGGGTGGGGGCATGGTGAGGGCGTCTGAGGCGGAGGAGGGGCGTTTTGTGAGGGTGGAGGTGGGGGAGGGGGAGGAAGGAGAAGGGGAGGAGGTGGTTATTGGTATGGGGGACTTTGATAGAGACATGGTTGTATTTGCGGTTGATGGTTGCTGTTACTTGGAAAAATGGTGCATCGCAGTCTTTTATCGGTATGGGTTGGAGTGTTAAATGAGTGGATAGTTATGGTTGTACTGGCTGGGTTGCTCCCCGCAGCGTACTGAAATGGTGAAAGTTGAATTGTTGAGGAAGTCAAGCGATGGTGATGTGATGATCATAGGAATGTGGCGGGAGTTACTTCACGTGAGATTCGAGGCTGAAAATAAGCTTCTGTTCCCGGAAGTTTATTTCCAGCCTCAAGTATTTAATCTATTTTATTCTTCCATCTTTCAACAGACTTGCTTGTTCAACTAATCAATTTCTTAAAGATGAGATAACTAGTTACATACAAAGAATTTCCTTTTATTAAAAACACAAATTACAAAATTGAGCAGATGTCAGATATATAAACGAAAATATCTTGCCACACGAAATAAACAAAAACCAATTCAACCATTCTTTTCACAATAGCTACAAAAAAACCAGACAAATCAGCATGTAATACCTCTCCAACCATTTGTAAATGTGCAAATAATAGGCAAAACAACAGACAGTGGAACAAAGATAAAAACAAAGCTGATGAAAAAAGCAAGCAAGGCAGAAAGTACTGAAACATCTGATTTCTTTTTTATATATCTCTCATTTCCTTCTTCTTCTCCTGCATTTTAATAGTAATAAACTGATAAACCAATATGACCTCCCCCTCTCAAGCTCATACACCACAATTGAGGTAAAGTAGCTTTGCCCCGCCTGCCCGCCCTTTGCCAAAACGAGAGTAAAAATGAAGATATGAAAAAGCCGAACGAAAAGGAAGAAAAAAAAAAAAAAAAAAAAAAAAGAACGGAGCCAACTAATCCACCCGACAAATTCAACCGACAAGAACCCCCTTCCTTCCCACGCATGCACCAAGCCAAACCTAAGGCGAAGGGGAAAAAAATATGAGAACATGAGATGGCGAAGTGAGAAGAAAAAGAGAAATAAGGAAAAACAAAAATTTTCAGAGTGAATGTGAAATATGTAGTGAATAGCAATTTATTAAAAGAATGAATATGAAATATAAAAAATGGAAAAGGAAATATAGATCGCATGAATAACAAATGACAGTAGGTAGAATGATGAAAGAAAAATCGATAAAATATATATGCAAATGATTATGCGATGTATATGTATGTAACAACATGAAGTTATGATGTAGTAGGTAGATAGGTAGGTAGGTAGGTAGGTAATATAAATGCTGCGGCAAAGAAAAACAATGAAATGAAATGAAAATAAAAGAAGGTCGTGGCTCATGAGATCAAAAAAGGCTGACTGAGTGTGTGTGTGTGGGGTATAAAAACGAATGTCTTTGCCATATATGTATATGGACTTTTACGAAAAATAAAATGAAAAGGCAGGGTAGGCAGAGTGGGCGGGGAAGCAAAGAGGGAAGTAGACGATGTGTGAGTGATTGATGAATAAAACAAATAAAAAACGAGGTCATAAATGCCAGCAGTATGTAAGGGGATGAGGGACGGTAAAAAACGATCGAGCTTTTCCTTTTTTGATGTTACATCAAAACTTTTCCGGGCGCGACAAGATCAGGAAACAGGAAAGGAGGGGAAATGAGAGAAGCAAGAAAGAATGAGGGGGAAAACAAACCAACTGCCGTCTATCTATATAGGGGTACAAGTTTTTGTTTTTTAGGCAAGAATGGAGAAATGAAAAAATGGGATGTTTATAAAAAAGGGGAATAAGAGAAAAAATACTATGCGAGGTAATGTACCGGTAGTGAAGTTATACAGGCCAAGAGGGGGAGTCCTTTCACCCCTCCCTCCAGAGTACCACAAGAAACGAAATTAGCGGTCAGAGTGCGAACCCACATCCCCAACAACGGTGAAACTGTGTTGCTCTTTCCCTTTCTGCTCTGCATTTATACTTTTTCTTCACCGCGATGCAGGGGCGACGGGCGCGGGAGCTGCCGCAGCTGCAGTAGGGAAAAGCGAGTATGACTTCCGAGCCCTCCGACCGCTGGACCCACGGGTGATGGTGGCAGATCGCTTTCGGGGCTCGGGGGCTTTAGACTTTACAGGGGACGTAGGCTGGCGCAGGTCCAGGGCGGATACAGACTTGGCACGATCGTGGTACGGCATTGTTGGGGCAGACGAGATGCCGGAGGTATAGCTATCGATGGAATTTGGAGAGATGCTGGGGTTTGATCGCTGGGTCAGCTCGCGCGCTAGACTCTTGCTTCGTTGATGTGTGGTGATTGGGCGTGGGCGGGGGACGGGGGAAAGCGTGGGTGCGGGCAGGGTTTCCTTTGTCTGCTGCTGTGGGTGTTGTTCGCCGGCAGAGCACACGGAGTCGCGGTCCAAGGCCGAGTGGCTGCAGTTGGAGCTATGCACTAATTCGGGAACACTCGTTGTGGATAGCGAAGAGCGATGCTTTCGTGCGACCGATGCTGCGCGGGACAGGATAATGCTTTCCTCTGAGTTGCACTTGCTAATTTCGGAGCAACTGCCGCGAGGAGAATCGAAGGGCTCGTCCACCTGGACATGGGCATACAATGGATAATTTTCGTCGACTTTTTGGTCGATAGGAATCAATCCATGGTAGGCTTGACTTGAGACAATGTCATCTCCAAATGGCGAAGACAAGATGGGAACATGCTCGTCTCTGAAGTAATCAGCCTGTGACAACGTATCAATTTGAACACACGGGAGAGGACTTGTCGAAGTCATTGGGGTAACATCATAATTTGGGGTTGTGAACGATGGTGCTGAAAAGGAGCTGGCATTGATGGTGTTCTGGTCGCTGTGTTCTGATCCCTCACGGCTGCCTTGATTCTGGATTGCAATTGGCGTGTCAGGGTCAGCCGCGGGGCTTGCATGAATAGTCAGCCTCTCGAGTTTCGACTTCATTTCCACCTCTTCAAACGAGGTGCGTCGCCAATCGAAATTCGAATTGGACTCCGCAGCATGCTCATAGCAATAATCGATGTCGTCCTCCCAAGACAAGTCATCCAGAGGGCGTTGGAATATCGATCGCCGCTTGTTCGATTTCCACCTCTTCTGTGCAAAAGCTTCATTAGAGTCACCATGAAGTGTTGGGATCGTGGGTGATCCGAGCGGCTCTGGTATAAGTTGTTTAGGCGAAGGTACTGCCGGTAGGGGTTTATCGAAGTCGACTCTAGGAGTGGACTGGCCAAAGCGGAATGGCTCCGAAGAAGTTGCGATAGTAGAGTTTCGGGCGTCATTATTGCGGGACATAGCAGTCTCGTCCTCCTCTGGAACATCTGCGAGATCAAAGGCGAGGATGTTTGATGGCGACCGAGTCATTACTGGCATATCATCATCGGGAATGAGAGTATGTCCGACATCGGGGAAAACGCTGGGGAGATCTAGCTTTGGCAAGTGTTGTTCTTGCGTATCATCGTACAGTGTCTCTGGGACCGCGAAGGTCGAGTGAAGGCCAAGCAGGGCATCAATGGTTTGAGGTGATGGCTCGGGGATGTCAGGTGTTGCTAGCTTTGAAGATGATCGAGGAGGCGCAATCATCGAGGGTGACGATTGTTGCCTCGACAGTCGGGACACTGGGCGAGAAAAGTTCTCGACTGATCGAGAATTGAGGTGTGATTGAAGCCTAGAAGGAGATGTAGGTGAGGTGCGTACATCAGACGATGTAGGGCGGCTATGGGCGTGCTGGGACCTTGAGTCTGAAGTGCACGGGCTGGCATCATTTTTGATGGAGATATTGTCAGAGGAAAAGTTTTGGAAATGTAAGCTTTCAGCCCTGATTCCCTTCAGCTCGTGGCCAGGACGCTGGGAGGCTCTAATGACGGAGAATTCCGTAACTATATCATCAAGCTGGCAACTATCCATAGGCGGGAGCTGACTAGGGCTTGTGTGTGTAACGTGTTGGAAATCGAAGGGGTCAGAGATATTCTGTTTTAGGGAATCTATTATCGTGAACAAAAGGAACAAACCCAGCCAATGTCAGCTAAGATTCCAACGTTATACTGTTATGCATACGCATATGCCAAAAAAACCAAAAAGAAAAAAAGAAGAAAAAAAAAAGAAAAAAGAAAAAAAAAAAAAGAAAAAAGGAAAGGAAAGGACAAACACGTACGGGTGCCGCTGTGTCGCGACCTGTGGCTGCGATGGAATATTCCAACGCCATCCATCCTCTGGGATGCAGAGTGAGATCCTCTGGCCATTTCGTCTTCCTCGTCTAGGGTTAGGGTGGAAGAAATGCTAAATTTGCTTCCCTTGCGCCGAAGAATGCGACTGCCGCGCGACAGGAAGGACTTTGCGGTGCTTGCTTCTTTCTCAGAAACGAGGGAGGTGGCACTGGAAAGGGTTCGACCGTCTTGAGAAGATCTGCGCGACGCGGAGTCGCCGCTGGTCAGAGACGAGGCCGGGGACTTGTAGGAGGAGGAGCTGGAGGTGGCAGTATTGGATCGAGAGCGAGCACCGAAGACAGAGAGGCGGATAGGACTACGGGTGGAGGATCGCGAGCGGCCTACAGCAGGGGATTCAGGGACGGTGGAGGTAGATGACATTGGCGGCGGCAAATGGTCACAGCTTTGGTTGTAATACCATTGCGAGCCGGGGGAAGAAAAGGAGGAAGTTGACGCAGATGCAGACGCAGACGCAGACGGATACGGAGTATTATTATTTTTATCAATGCTCTTCTTGCCGTGGTTTTTGTTGTCCTTGCTATTCCTGGTGTTAATGCCAATCGCACTGGGAACAGAGTCAAACATGACAGGAGGGAGTCAATGGGGCAACCACTATTCCGCATTCGACGAGGATGGAGGAGGAGAAGGAGGAGGAGGAGGAGGGGCGGGCGGGCGAGCAGTGCGACGGAGGGATATGAAAGGACCCCCGTTGTCATTTAGTTTAATCCTGTCCTTGTCCAAAGGAAGACGCGAAGCCCGGGGGGAGGGAGAATTAAGGAACCAGGGCACCCTTGAAGGGGAAAAAATGGGATGGGGGCTAATATCCCTGGGGGAGGACGAGCAGATACCAGTTAAAAAAGGAGCGGAGAATTGTGGCTAGCTAGCAGCAATCCCAATTGGGGGATTTATGGAGCTGGGGATATTTATTCAAGCAAGGAAGCGAGTGTGTAAGGACGAGGAAAAGGAAAGGAAAAGAAAATTAAAAGAATGAGTGGATAAGTTGGGGAGAGCGAGAGGGAGAGAGAGAGAGAGAGAGAATGAGAGAGAGAGAATGAGATCTGAGAGCCGACAGGAAGAGAGGAGGAGAAGGAGAGAGCACGTGCAAAAAGCGAGATGGACGGGGGGGGGGCAGAGAGAGCGATGATCTTTGTGGCAGTACTCCGTAGTGTAATAACAATAAATGTAAGGAATGGAATAGTAAGCAAGGAGAATGGGTAATAATAGCAGCAGCAGTAGCAGTAGTAGCAGTAGTAGCAGTAGCAGTAGTAGTATTTGGAGATGATATGATAAAAGGAGAGGAGGACAAGGTCTATTTTCTCATCTCCATTCTTCGACTGGACTGGTCATATATATATTGGATGGATATATTGGAGCATAGTCCTGGGGGGGGCCTATAGCTAGGTAGTTATATTAGAGAGTATCTTCTTCTCATATCATATAACAAGTCCTGTTATAATGACCAGGGGAAGAGAAAGCTTGGGCTTGGGTGGATCAGAGACCAGACAATTGGGCAGTAGAAGTAGGAAAAGAAGAAGAATGCATTGAGTAAAATGAAGCCAGAAGAAGAAGAAGAAGAAGGAGAAGGAGAGAAAGAGGGAGAGAGAGTTATGTTGTGTGTGTGTGTTGTATGTATGTGTGTATGTGTGTGTGTACTCCGTATGGAAGCAAGGAAGAAGCAGAAGCAAGATTGATCCCGTCCCGTCGTTCGGGAAGAGCATTATTATTACAGGTTGCAAGGTATGTATGTATGTATGTATGTATGTATGTACGTGTGTACTGTACTACTCTGTACTGTAACAGGTACAAGTACAAGTAACCAGCTTATTTTTACAGTTTTGCAGTTTCCAGCTTTCCCTCCCAGGCCCCCCCCCCCCCCCCGGGCTGGGGTGGGCTGGGCTGGAACCTCCCTTCGCTGCGGGCCCGGGGGTCGAGCTGATGTCATCCCATGTCAATCAATCAATGTCAATCAACCCCATCACAAATAACCAAATACTCAGTGTAGACAGAACACACTATTATCACTTATCTCAAATACTCAATGCTCAGTGCTCAACACATGCAGTAGTATCAAAAGTAGTTACTCTCTAGAATGATTAACTAAAAAATATAGTTAGTACTATGTTGTGTGAAGAAAGTAGTCTGTGTGTGTTGTATGTTGTATCTCAGATAGAGTTGCTCTTGGATGGAACCTTGATTCTAGCCATGATCTTGGGTTGATTTTCTAACCAACCATGTTCATCTACTACTACTACTAGATGCTTCTGCGGCTGCTGCTGAATGTTCCTTCTGGCTCTTTCCTTGTGTTGCAAAAATGGGGTATATATACAGTATAATACACACCCCCATACATACATGCACATGTACACTCTCAAGCTGCTTGTTAACCTGCCAGTGAGTAAGAGAAAAGAAAAGAGAAAAAGAGAAAAAGAAGGAGATGGAAGGTGAGAGAGAGAGAGAGAATGAGAGAGAATGAGAGAGAATGAGAGAGAATGAGAGGGCTGGGGAAAGAGTTAAAAAGAAAGAGGTTAAAAAAGAAAAGGAAAGAAAAAAGAAAGGAAAAAATCTCTCTCTCTTTTTTCTCTTCTTCTGCACTTTAACTTGCAAGATGCTCTCATTCATTCAGTCTATCTGAAGAATGGAGTTTTTTAGCTTTTTCTTGTTCATCAATCATCATCATCCTTCTTCTCCTTCTCCTTCTCATGTTCTTATTACAAATGAGAATTAACTCAGCCAGCCAGTCAATTGAATAATAATAACCCCTCTCACTTCTACTCTTTTATTATGTTACAATTGCCTCTCTTCTCACAGCGCGTACAATCAAATATATACATCGACAGATAAGCGCAGCAGTGCTTACTGCTGTGCAATCCTGGGCATGACAGGTAGGTAGGTAGGTACATTTACATGTACTGCGTACCTGTACATACTGTATAGCACGCCCGTAATTATCCTTCGCTGATCCCCGCCCCGGGCCATATGGGCCGCCGCCGTATGAGGGGGACGACGACGATAAGCGACCTCCGCCGACCGACCTGTCGTGGCTGATGGAGCATTTCTTTAGTAGTAGTAGTAGTAGTAGTACTACGCAGTACGTACAAGAGTGCGCGCTCTGCAGTGCTATTATTATTATTATGAGTGGATGGATTGGCTGCTTCAAGCTTCAAGCAAGCGGTTGGTTCCTAGTTCCTGGGTTCGGGTTTCGGGTTGCAAGGTTTAGTTTAGTTTAGTTTAGTTTAAGTTACTGGGGAGGTATACCTTTTTTAAGAATTCTGTGAAGAAGTAGTTTGTACTTACACTCCGTACGGAAGTACAGAGTAATAATACAATGGATATCTTAAATTGGGGTATGATGATGACAATTCATTGTGATTGAGACTGTCGGGGATATATATAGCATTCAAATTTAAAATAGATGATATTCTCCTGGAGAAGCGAAAATCCCGGATGAAGGAGAAATGGAAAGTGAGGAGGAGAAATTGCTCGTGTTACCTGAGGCTTTTTTTTTTTTTTTTTTTTTTTTTCTTACGCATATTTCTTTTTTTACTTCTTTCTCTCTTTTTGTCTGTTCTTCCCTCTCTCCAAAAAAATAAAAAATAAAAAATAAAAAATAAAAAATAAAAATAAAAAATAAAGAAGAACCTCTTCCTACAAACTGCTGAACTCCACGCACACAGCTCGCAGCTCCTCAAATCAAACAACCAACCTCACACATAAACCTATGAACTGAGTGAAGTGCGTATGTTACTCTGTAAGACATGTAGCTTTTTTTTTTTTTTTTTTTTTTTTTTTTTTTTTTTTTTTTTTTGATCATGAAAAAATAAAATAAAATAAAAAATAAAGGGGGTTGATCTGGTTTTCGGATTTTCCCCCCCCCTTTGATTATTTGATTACTGATTAACATGAATACTCTGGTTCTTCTTTTCTTACTTACAGATTATAAGTCATTGATTGATTGATGATTATCATCATCATTTTTATTATTTCTAGACTCTTGAAGAGCTGTCTGACAGATACTGAACAATACCTAGAGCCTAGAAAGAGTGAATGGTTTCAAGTTTAACGATTCAACTAGCTCTTGTGCTGATTGATAGTGAAACGAACCATTTCACATCACTACATACTTATTAATACTCCATACTCTTACATACATAGGTAAAAGCCTCCAGGCGCGTCTCTGTTTTAAACTTTATCATAATATGTTTCGCTTTTGAAGAGCAAGATAACTAACTATCAGTTTCTCTTTTTTTCGTCCGATTGGAGGAGAGGCCCTCAACTCATTATTATTATTATTACTGATTGCAGCGATGGGTAGTCCTGGTTCCCGGATGGCGATGGCCCCCAACAACACTTGTAGAATAATAAGAATAATGTAGAACAGAGACGCAGGATGAAGCAACTCCATTCCAACCTGCAGCAGAGATATAGTTATATAGTTATACCTTATGTACGGAGAAGTATTATGCGGCCTTTCCTGCTTCCTTCTTCCTTCTTCCCTCTTCCTGCTTGTTGCTGCTTGCTGCTTTGAGATGCCAGCTTTGGACCTACTTTGCTTGACATATTCAACTTTAGCACTCTCTCCGAAATACATACACACACACACACACACACACAATACTAATACAGTCTGACATTCCCCATCCTCTTCTCACCGCTGTAGATTAGGATGTAAAAACTGAAATTAGTATTAGAAAGAGCTAGAATGAGTTACAATCTCAAGAAATATGAAAGAAGAAGAAAAAAACAATATTATGAGTAAGTATGTTGGCACCATGTTCAACTATAACCCGAAGACTACGTAGGATACGATACTATAACTACTCCGTAGGGTGTAATAATTGAGAAGAGATGGTGGTTGGATGCCATCGCACAGGGTTTTCAAAAAAAGCTTCAAATAATGATATCTTTGAAGCCCCGTTCGTTCTCAAACCCCCGCAGAATTCAAGGCTTGGTTAGTTAAAAGTTATTGGTTTTTGTTTCATGGTCCAACGTACGTTCCACGTTCCACGTTCCATGTTCCAATGTTCCATGTTTCCATGTTTGAGGCGAAGATAAAACTATTATTCCTAACTATTCCAATCCAGCGTAAATGTAATGGTATGCAGAAAAAGGAATTTCCCAGGCTAAAATAAATGGTTTATTAGCAGGCAGACCAATCTAACTTGGGAACTGGCCATTGAAGGGAAGGGAAGGCAAGGAAAACTCTCGCCTGAATATCCTGATCGGATCTGATCTGGTCAGATTAGTTACAGATTTACTTTCTTGAACTTTCTTGAACCATTGAACGATTTGAAACGAATTCAAACGATTTTCGCCTCCAGATCCTAGCGCTAGCATCCGAAGCAGAAACCAAGCCAACAGAACAGGCTAGAAAACTAAAACAAAAAAGGGATGGATCCCAACAAGTAATCAAACGGTTATTAGAAGAAACCCAGCCGGAAACGGGTTTCGTCGTCCTTAGTTCGCCCCAGGTTTCCAACGGCCGTCGCGAAAACTTGCAAGGTGTCTTGTCTGTCTGTCTGTCTCCCTCTCTCTCTTGTCTCTCTCTCTCCCCCCCCCCCCCACCTCATTCTCCCCCTTCATTCCCAGCAGCCCATGCAGGCACGGAAAGATAAACTCCAATCGAATCGCTAGATACAATCTGCGATTCCTGTCTGATTCTTTCGAAACAACCCTTGGGAAACTTCCCCTTCCCCTTCCCCAAACCCCACACCATCGTGAAATCGTGATCCCAGCACTCTCTTGTATCCCCGTCCATATTGATATTACTCCGAGGTCCCACCTCCCCGGGGCCTGTAACGATCCAGTACGACTCCAGCGATCGCGCGCGGGCGTTGGCGAATATTTATTTATATTTATTTATTTTTATTGGATTGGACAGGGGGTTGGGTTGGGGCTGGGAAGTTGAGATTTGCTTGACAAAAAAGAGAGAGAGAGAGAAAAAATAAGGGATGGATGGATCCGTCGCTTACGGGGCGTGAGTTGACTTGAGCTTTTTTCTGTTCTTTTTTCTTTTTTTTTTTCTTACTCCGTTACTCCGTTCTCCGTAACTACTTATAACCTCCACTTTTTATTCCTGATCGACATCCGTCGATCATTCTGGCGAGCTCAGAACGGGTGCGGGTGGAGGTGGAGGAAGCAATAATAATAATAATAATAATAATGTTCAGAAGTACACCGTAGGTAGTGAGAGGGAAATAAAGACCCGCGATGAGAGACGGAGGAGGAAAAAATGGAGATAGTTAAATCGCCAGTTTCTGCGTCTTTTTTTTTTTTAAAAAAAAAAAAAAAAACAAAAAAAATATTCAGGCCGTGCGATACAGACCGAACCATGGATGGTGGTACGTTACATTACACATAACTTACCATACAGTGACTACATTATTCCGTAATAGATGGCTATATAGCTAACTCTCCCCTCAACAACCTCACCTCGCACACCTCGCCGCTACACCAAACCTCGAGGGCGGCACGACACGGTAACTATATACTATTTATTATTATATACCTAGGCAAGGCAGGTCGAGGCACGACATGCGGGAACTGTAGTGTGCAGTTGTATAGTGCCCATTCTTCTTAGGCCTACGTATTGTATGTTCATTCATTAATATCTATCCTATGCTGCTCTATATTCTTCTTTTTTGAAAAAAAAAATAAAAGTAAAATAAATTAAAAGCCACCATTCACTTGACAGAAGTATGGCGCACATGATGAACAGGG